GGAAAGCTGGGTAGGTTCCTCAATCAGGAGCTGCAGTCTTCTAGACTCCCCAGTTGTAGGGAAATGTTCAAAACGTGGTAGACCCTCCTCCCTTTCACATAGAAAGGAATGGTTTTCTAAAAAGTAGGTTTTCTCCAATTGAGACACTTCCTTCTCTAACAGTGTGGCCTGAGACATACACAGTGGTGGGATTCAAATAATTTAACAACCGGTTCTCTGTGCTAATGACCAGCTGGGTGGGCATGGCCATGGTGGTGTCGTCAGGGAGTGTGACACGCAGCACTCGGACTCCTGCACCCCCACACCCCGTTTTGGGCCTACTAGGCCTCCCTGCAGTCTCCTGAGAGTGAAATGGGCCATTTCACTCTCAAGGGGGGGGACTGGGGGGGGACTGTGCTGCACCCCCCTATGCCCCGTTTTGGGCCTGGTAAGCCTCCCTACACTTACCTGGGAGCCAAAATGGGGCGTGTGGGGACTCCTGGAAGGGGCAGGGTGGGGAGGGGACATCCAGCAATTTAACTTCGCCCGAACTGGCTCGAACCGGCTGAATCTCACCACTGGACATACAATATATGCTCTTCTCTGTTCACATTGTTTTGCATGCATATTTGCGCAGATAAAAAGTAGAGCTTTGTAGCACTGATTCAAAGGGGAAAAAATCTTCATGGTGTACAAACAAGTTCCCATAGGGCCAACTCTTTAAAGCAACTACAACCTGAGGAAAAGACACTGTTGCTTTAAGGAGCTATAGACAGGTTTTTTATGAACTCCCCCATACTGTATGCTCCAAAAACCAATTTTGTTTATGAAACTGTAGTGCTAAGCACTGTAATGCATAACGTAAGAGAAAACTGTTTGGGAACTTTCCTAGACAGAGGTGCATATAATATAAATATTATCTTTGCACAACAGTTTTGTTCAAAGTAATCTGTTTTGGGGACTCACAAAATACCCTGATATTTGGGGTCAGTGTTGACTCTTGGAGGCTACTGGAGTAGTTCTTCAGATCTTTGAAAATATTTGCCATTGTCTCCTTCCTAGAGCTGACAGACGGTGACTGGCCCATGGTCACATAGCTGGCTTTCTACCTAAGACAGGACTAGAACTCACAGTTTTTCTGTTTGTACCTAGTGCCTGAATCACTACTACAAATTGGCTCTCACTTTGAAATAATTAGGAATATCTAAATTGTAAGCAATCCATTTTAGCCAGAATCAAGTAATGGAAAAATCACTGACCAAGAGTCCCATTTTTAATTTGTCAAAAAGTGATCCAGTAAGGCTATTCCAAAAAATCAAGTTATAACTCTAACCTGTAGAGTGATGCTGTATTCTAACTTCCATTACTTCCAGCCAGCATCCTAAGTTCTCAGGTGTAATGAAATTTATTTTAGCATCTGGAAGATTATAGGTCTCTCACTATACTATACTACAATAAGTAGAGTTTCAGAGTTTAGACTATTTGTAATTTGTCTTAGTGACCTACAGGCATTTTCATCAACAACAAGAGAGGTTCCGTTTAATTGGCTGGTGGTGAAACTTTCTAACTGGAAAGCAAATGAGAAAGGCATTTCCTGCAAAGGATATAAGGCAAGGAAGAATGCCTTTTCTACAATAATGTACATTGTTCCAGATGAGTGTAATTTGAATTAAATTGAATTCAAATTGAATTTGAATTAAAAGGAAGTGTTCCTTTGAACCTTCTTTTCCAAAGAGCACATGGCTGTTTACTTGGAAATGAGTGCTATTTTATTTAAGGGGATATACTTCCTGATTAGTACGGGTAGTCCTCAATTTATGACTGTAATGAAGCCTGCCCATTACAGTCACAAGTCATGATGGTCATAAAGCAGGCCATCAACACGACGGACCTATTCTGTGATCTTTTTTGTGGCAGTCATTAAGCAAACACAGCAGTTGTTAAACCCGTGAGCTATGAGCCGTATTTGCTGAAAGCCAGAAGTAAATGAATATGTTTTCAGCAAAAACATTGTAAATTGTGGCCACATGACTATGGGACATTGCAAATGGCTGTAAATGTGGGCTGATTGCCAAGCACCCAAAATGCACTCACATGACAATGGGAGGAAGTATCCACACACCCATAATTTCAGAAGTAGGTTGTAAATACTTTTTGAGTGCTCCCTCCTAACTTCAAATGGTCACTAAGCGAACAGTTGTAAGTCAAGGACCACCCTGTACGTTGGCGGTTGCAATGTTAATTGCGGCTGTGATCAGATTGCTCGATACAGTCATAACGAGCTACCAAAATTTTCTTTACTTCTGTATCATCCATTATGAGTCATCATAACCCAAATTGTATTATTTGACACTAGACATACTTAGCGATATTGGCATTTGCCTAAGGCAGCAGAAAACTCTGGAAATGCTGTTTATGGAATGCTGTAATATTCTTGCCCCACTGCAGACTTCATGTACCTCTGTAAAATAAGACACGAGCACTCAGTTCCATGTGGAGAGAATTTCAACAACACTCCTAGAAAGGAGCAAAAATTAGCCAAAGAATTCATTTTCTCTTCAATAGAAATAGGAAAATGTTAAAACCCTGTTTCTCAATCTCAACAACTTTAAGGTATATGGATTTCAACTCCCAGAATTCATAGCTGATTGGGGAATTCTGGAAGTTGAAGTCCACACATCTTGAAGTTCCTGAGGTTGAGAAACAATCTATTAAAAGGTTTCTTCTTAGTGTTTATAAGTAGCTTTTTAGGGGGCAGGGAGGAGAGCAGGAAGGGTGATGATTATTTCCCGAGAATTCTGTTTCCGTATTTCAAAGGAACCCATTGTTCCTTCTGGTGTCATTCACATTTCATAGAATTATAATCCTATTTCACATTCACTGCAAGAGATTTAGTGCTAACAGCATAGAATCAAAGGTAAATAAAACCATGGAGTTGAAGGGCCTTTGGAGATCACCGACTGTAGCAGGGGTGGGTTCTACTTACCTTTACTATCGGTTCACAACGGGATCATGCGAAGCTTCTGCGCGTGCGCAGATCGCCGATGACGACATCCGGGGCAGTGGGTGGGGCCTGCTGGTGGTTTTACTACGGTTCTTATGAACCAATCCGAATTGGGGGCAACCCACCACTGGACTGTAGCTTTCTTGATCCTATAGGTGCATGAATCTAAAATTCTGAGCAATGACCGCAGTGTCATTCTGGCACTTGGTCCATACATCTGTAGAAAGTCTAGGTTGGAGGGAAATGATCTGGTCCAGCCTTTGGTTGCAGGTAGAATCAGAAATGTACAATACAATACAACTCCAATATCCCCAAAATTGGGTTATTCCAATGAGGGAGAGAATCTCACAGCCTCGTATCTGAGTTCTATTGTTGTTTTCCTAACGTATATGTGAAATAGCCCCGTTGTAATTTAAGAAATTGAGATCTAGCCTTAATCAAGTTCAGTTATCTTTTACTGTTTTTCTATGAAATTTGAGCTTTTTGTCTATTGTAAAAAGGGATAAAATGTTTTCCCTGTCTCTTGCCTTGCCGCCATTTTTCAATTGTTGCTTCAAATCCCCTTCCCCTTGGATAATAGTTTGATTAGTAGCATTGTTAAGTTTAATTCCAAAACCGTGGGTTATTAATGTTCAGTTCCTTCAATTGTTTATTCCCTTCCATATGCAAGGTATTTCAGACGTCGGTGTGTCACCTCCTGTGCTGGGGTAAAAATACTACAGAAAAAGAAATCTGACCCAGAGGAAGTTACTTGGAGGAAGTTACTTGGAGACATCCATATAATCTTCTCAGCAGCAGCAATAGAGAAGTGGTCAGACTGTCAGTCGGTCAATTAGGAAACAAAGACTCTTGAACTCATAGCTAGCGAAAATAAAAGGTAAAGGTAAAGGTTTCCCTCGCACATACGTACTAGTCGTTCCCGACTCTAGGGGGCAGTGCTCATCTCAGTTTCTAAGCTGAAGAACCAGCGCTGTCTGATGACGATTCCGTGTCATGTGGCAAGCATGACTAAATGCCGAAGGCGCACGGAACACTGTTACTTTCCCACCAAGGTGGTCCCTATTTTTCTACTTGCATTTTTACATGCTTTCGAACTGTTAGGTTGGCAGAAGCTGGGGCAAGTAATGGGAGCTCACTCCGTTATGCGGCACTAGGGATTCGAACCGCTGAACTGTCGACCTTTCGATCGACAAGCTCAGCATCTTAGCCACTGCACTTTACTAAAGCCAAGTGGCTACAGTGTAGCAAAGCTGGATCTGAAATTTCATGCCCAAAGCAGCTGGTTAACTTTTCCCCTGGCTTCCTAATGGTATTCAAATAAATTGTTTTGGTAACAATCTCTGGCTTCATGGGTTGAATGGTGCTGCATTCCATCAAGTGACCTTGGAGCAGTCAGTGGCTCTCACCGGATGGCACGAAGAGTATTTTTGTTTCCCCATCTTCTGCCCCCCCCCCCCATCCCCCCCCCTTCCTGCTTGTTGCAATATGACAGATTGGCATCTAGGGAAGCATTGCAGGCATAACAGCATGGCAGTCCTGACACAGACATAGTCACCTTCCGGAATGGTGTTTTCAATTTCCCAGTCTAGTCAACAGCCTTGAGATTTCTTGGATAACCTCCTGTCCAGTAATAATAGTCAATCTGGCTTTTGATTCTGAATTTAATCAAAAGTTGCCCAGATTCTAAAGCCCAAAAAAGTTGAAATAAAAACACAAAATAATGGAGGATTTTTGATACTTTACTCTCCTTTGGAAACATACTTCGGCAACTTCTTTTATCCAAAGCCGTCTCTTCTGTCTGTTGCTATAATTTTTTTAATAGAAGCTGGTTGGAAGCATTGCTGCTTAAAAAAACATTTATATCTTATCTTCCCTAGTGAGTAAGGTCCCAAAATACATTTGTCACTTCTCATTATTTTGAGGAGCTTAGAGAGAAGTGAAGCTACATCTCAGACTTTCTATTTTTTGTTTCCCCCTCCCATGCTAACTTGTTTTATCTTTTTTTTTTAATCCACAGGATTGTGTGCAGCTGAATCAGTACAAACTGAAAAGTGAAATAGGAAAGGTAAGTTTATAGCACCTTATTCTCTACCCCAGGGATGGACAGATAAAAGAATCTAACATAAAGCTTAGGTGTGGTTGGAGCTTGCTAGATATTTATGGACCTATATGTATTAGACTTGGGACCCAGGGAAGGAGGACTAAGGGATGGGTTCTTGAGTGCAAGAATGAGCAAGCTTGTTCTAATACTGAACATATATTTTGAATTATGACCTCAATGAAGCCCAAAATTTCTTGTTGTTAAGTGAGACATTTGTTAAGTGAGTTTTGCCCCATTATACGACTTCCTTGCCACAGTTGTTAAGTGAATCAATACAGTTGATAAGTTACTCACTGAGTTGTTAAGTGAATCTGGTTTCCCCATTGACTTTGCTTTGTCAGAAGGTCAGAAAAGGTGATCACATGACCTTAGGACACAGCAACGGTCATATGTATGAACCAGTTGCCAAGCATCTGAATTTTGATCACAGGACTATAGGGATGCTGCAAAAGTTGTAACTCTGAAAAATGGTCATAAGTCACTTTTTTCAGTGCCGTTTTAACTTTGAATGGTCACTAAATGAATTGCTGTAAGTCGAGGATTACCTTTATGTGATCAGAAGCCAAACAGGCAATTTTTCTTCCCAAAATGGCTCAGTAAATATCTAGTAAAAGATAAGGTGGGATAAAGTCATCTCTACAAGTCATCTTGTACAAGTCATCACAGTGGCTCAGTGGCTAAGATGCTGAGCTTGTCAATCGAAAGGTTGGCAGTTTAGTGGTTCGAATCCCTAGTGTCGCGTAACGGGGTGAGTTTCCATTACTTGTCCCAGCTTCTGCCAACCTAGCAGTTCGAAAGCACGTAAAAAATGCAAGTATAAAAATAGGGAACACCTTTGATGGGAAGCTAACAGACTTTGGCATTTAGTCATGCCAGCCACATGACCACAGAGACGTCTTTGGACAGAGCTGGCTCTTCAGCTTTGAAACAGAGATGAGTACCACCCCCTAGAGTTGGGAACGACTAGCACATATGTGTGAGGGGAACCTTTGCCTTTACCTTTACAAGTCATCTCTCTCCAGTTCTCATTCTATCAAAACAGAACCTGTCTGTTTGATTGGTCTGTCATCTGATGAAGCCTTTCCTTCCATAAGAGAACTGGCACTTTTAATCTCTTGGGATTTCCAATCTTAACATATATTCTTTTATCAGCCATAAAGTACTAGTCTTCCCCTGATGCAAAGTAGACTTTTTGCAAGTCCAGAGTTCTTTTGTAGTCATAAGAACATTCCCAAATGCATCTCACACAGCAAACTGATATTTATAAACTGAAGAGCTCATTCAAACATCTAGAGGTTGTCAACAGTATTAAGTATCTGGGGGTGCAGAAAACTAACAATCTGAACTTGTCTCTCCACACGTCATTCTTAGTGAACCATGCAAACCAGAGTCTGCATTTCCTGCATCAGATGAGGAGAGTACGTCTTTCTCCTTCTGTCCTGGCCACTTTTTACAGAGGCACAATTTAGAACATTTTAACAAATTGCATCACTTTTTGGTTTGGTGGCAGCAATGCCTCAGATAGAAAGTCCATACAGAGAGTGGTAAGGACAGCCGAGAAGATTATAGGAAACATGCTTCCTGTTATTCAGGATACTGCTTATATGTGCTTAGAGCTCAAAGCATTGTTAGAGATCCCCACAAACCCACTTCACGGTCTGTTTCTGTTACTCCCCTCTGGGAGGAGGTTTCGAAGTATTTCTAGCAGGACTACCAGATTCTGTAACAGCTTTGTTCCCTATGCCATCCATCTGGTAAACTTGCAAGATTTATTTTTCTTGCCATGTACATGTATACATCCGAATTAGACTGCGTTGTTTCTCTGTGTCATATAATATATGTGGTATATGCATATTTTTGTATTTATTTATTTATTTAGTCATGTTTATGTAGTATATATTGGAAGTGGTGACCCTTTGAGAGCTGTATGCAACAAAATTTCATTTTAACGTATGCCAATTAGTGTACGTTCAAAATGACAATAAAGTTATTTTAAGTTATTCTAAAACTTCAATGATTTACTTTCTAGTCTGGTTATGATTTATCTATTATATTTTTTTAGATATTTGTACTCAAGGCCCTCCAAGTATTATACTGTCCAATACTTTATCACTGTATTTATCTAGATAGTGTTAATATTCAAAACAATGACCTTGACAGCTACTTATATTTTATTTGGTCTTTCACTATGGTGTTCTAGCTGGAACCAAGATATTTTTATACTTGTATTGCTAAATGTCAGGCAGTGGCCAGGTGCCAGGCAATTGGTTCTTTGAAGATCCAGAGACCATAAACACACCAGAAATTAAGAAGATTTGAAGTTTTAATATTAACTTTAGCAGATGGATTCAAACAGAAACACAAAAGCATGACATACCAAGCAAAATAATGACAAATGTCCATTCAGCACTATCAGTGGACTTGTATAATTGTAGTGGCAAAAGTCTTCAGTATTTGACACAGAAAAACAGGCAGATAATCATAGCATTTCTGTATAAGTACCATATTAGTTCCAATAATACCAAAAACACATTGTTGATTCTATTATTAATCATTTTCAGAACTATTTGTCTGCAACTTTAGGTTTGTATTATATAAAGTAAAGTTTCCAGGTTGAGTTTGGTGTGTGTGTTTTGTGTGTGTGTGTCTGAATTTACAGACACATCCAAAAAGCTTAGCTGCAAAATATCACTGGTTTGCCATTGCCTTTCCAATTTTTTAAAAATAGTTTCCAGGTTATAGCCTGGAAATCTTCCACTCAAGGCCAGGCAGACTTGCTTCAGGGCTAATTCTCCATCAGGGGACAAGCATTTTTATAAACATTTCCACCTTCAAAAATGCAAATAATAATTTTGGAAGGCATAGTAGTATTAAACACCCCCATTTTTCATGAAGAAAGCTCAGGTAAGGAAATGATAATTATTGGTTGGCATTATCATTATAATTATACCTGGAATTGTAATTATTACTGTTCCACTTTACTTTTCATCTAGGAGGATTTTCCCTGGCTGCCTGCCTGGAGTGTTGTAACATGATATAAAGACTATTAATCCCTTTAATGCAGCCAATTGTTGGAACTTCAAAAGACCAACTTTTTTCAACCATGCCAATGGGCCTGGTTATTTCCATTCAGATGCGGTGTAGTTTAAATGTTTTCTCAATTCAGAAGTGTCCCAGAGCTGGAAGGCATTTTAGAGTGAATAAGACGAATAGTTTCCCTACCTGGAGGTTGGTAATAAAGACAGAGTTACAGGTGGTAGCCTAAATGGAGACATTTTCTTGGGGGTGGAATGGGTGAGATACATCTCATTTACCAGAGGAGAATGATAAACTCAGTGAGGTGCACTTATCTTTTTGCAGGCTTTAAGAGCTGCATCCCAAAGGTGGAATAATCAGAATCCAAGCTAGACTTCACTGAAGGAGGGGGGAGTTTTTAAAGAGGTAGAAAAGGTGTCTTAAGCCTTGAAACCACCAACACACGCCCTCCCCCCATTTCCAAACTCTGTACCTCAATGCCCCAGTGCACCCATTTGAGCCCGTGTCTATGACTGCCTTCTGCCAAAACATACACACCGTATGTTTTGAGGAAAATGAATTGGAAGCTGGCTTGTCCAGTTCAAATTGTCAAAGGCTTTTTCTGCATTCAGAAAAACCAACGCTGCTTATTTTTCATTATGTTGTTCTAAGTACAGTATTCCAAAATGTCCAATATATTTTTCATACTGTCCCTCAATGGTCTAGAGAACATATGTTTCTTGCGTAAGGACACCATGTCAAATGTTCAGAAGTTGTACAAGACGTTTCATGCATAAAGCCCCCATGTCAAATGTTCAGTAGCTGTAGAATTGGGTTGCTGCAAAAATGTAAAATGCTGGACCAGCTCAGGATAATTTGTAATCACATGAGCCATGGTGGCACAGTGGTTAGAGTGCAGTACTGAAAGCTACTTCTGCTGACTGCCGGCTGCCTGCAATTTGGCAGTTCAGATCTCACCAGGCTCAAGATTGACTCAGCCTTCCATCCTTCCGAGGTGGGTAAAATGAGGACCCAAATTGTTGGGGGCAATATGCTGACTCTGTAAACTGCTTAGAGAGGGCTGTAAAGTGCTGTAAAGCGGTATATAAATCTAAGTGCTATTGATATTGCTAATATGGAGCTGATTGGACTGCTCAATCCCTTTTTATGGCCTGCATTTTTACTCCCCCCCCATACCAAATACATAGGTGACATATTGGTTTAAAAAGATGGGGGAAAGAAAGACAAAACACAATCTCCTCCTGACTGGAGGAGAATAATAGATCTGACCATCTTGCATTATTACCCTTCCATTCAATGAGAATAATAAACAGCAGGCATCAGGAATGGTAGGGTACAACCATCACAGAGAGAGAGAGAGAGAAATTATCTTCTTTAATAGCACTACATTTTAGAGCAAAACTGCCAACAACTTCTAAGCACTGAGCAGTTTTTGGCAGCCTAAAAGGTTGGCAGAGATAAAAAACAGATCCCCAGCCTTGTTCTGCTGGATGACAGCATCCAAACACACTGCTTTATTTCAGTTCAGTTCCTTACCCAAGCAGAAAGCAATGTCCATCTGAAGTGGACCAGTGGACCAGATTATTTTTATAGTGATTAGAAGCTGCAGGAAATTTGTGGGGAGGGGGGAGTTCAAGGGATGATTTGGGTGTGTGTGTTTGCATAGATGCAAAATGCATTGCAGGAAAATGAATTTTTGATTTTGGTTTTTACTGATTGGATAGATTTGTTGTTATAGAAATGGCTAGTTTATATGATTATGAAAAAGTAAAAAGTTGAGGGTAGATGTTAATGCCTTATTTTACTGCACCAATGGAGTCAGAAGTCAATGCCTTTTTTTTCTTTTTCTCTTGCTTTCTCCCACTATCCACTTCCCTTTGCCCTTCCCTAATTTCCCTAATATTTACTTTTGTATTCTCTTTGTATGTCTGATTATAAATTAATAAAAAACTATATAACTAGGAAGCTGCAGGAAATTTGGGGGGGGAGTTCAAGGGATGATTGGGTGTGCATAGATGCAAAATGCATTGCAGGAAAATGACTTTTCTGAGTTTTGAATGAGAAATGATCGTGGTTTTTCTTATTCTTTTTTTTTTAAAGAAATGTATAAAGTCTATTTTTGGGAGTTTTATAGTAGGAAAAAAATGTTCCCCCATATTTCAGATCACCACCAGAAAAGGCTTGAGGGGGCGGGAGTCTGCAAAAAATTCAAAATCTGCTTGCCCACCCTTGTTCCATAATCTATCTGCAAAGCAACGAGTGGGGGAATGAAAAAAATGCCAGATGGAAGGGAGAAGCAGTGGGGAATGGGTTTTATAAGGACAATCTCCATCTTGAAAAGTTTTAGACTGAATCTTTCCCTGGAGCAGGTAACAGTAACAGTAACAGAGTTGGAAAGGACCTTGGAGGTCATCTAGTCCAACCCCATGCTCACGCAGAACTATACTAGGGATTCGAACTGCCGACCTTTCTGATCGACAAGCTCATCATCTTAGCCACTGAGCCACCTAGGGAACCGCCAATGAAACCAACCCAGTGATTTTGATTGTGTGTTTATTTCTAGGGTTCCTACGGAGTTGTGAAGCTGGCCTACAATGAAAATGATGATCAATATTATGTAAGTTGCAAGTACCTCTCCTGATCCATTACTGCATGTATGAGACTGAGATGGGACAATAATGGGACATTTTATTTGATACCTTTGAATTCCTACACAGTTAGAGATAACAGCTTGGGAAGGTTGCTACGTTATAGTTTTAATTGCTGAAAATGTTCCCCATTTCCATTTTGAGCTGAAATAACAATAATCTCCCACCCAAAATGGCTTTCCAGATTTGTTGAGTCATTTAACAATATTTGAAAAGTAAAAGAATGATTACTCAATAGAAAGAAGGACAACATTATGTTCTTTCTTATTTTTCTTTCTTACTTATTTTCCATCTTTGTTTTGGTTGGTTTATTTGTGCCTTAGAATCAGGGTTTTTTTCCCCATTCCTGAAGACTGCCTGAAAAAGTTCCTTTTTGGCAAGTAATTTGCCATTGGTCCTTTTAAGGACAAGGAAAGGAAAGGAAAGGAAAGGAAAGGAAAGGAAAGGAAAGGAAAATATAATTGAATTTTATGGTTGCATACAGGATTACGTGATTAGTTAACAGCTGGTGAATTCTTCCATGGTTTTCCGATTGTCAAGGCACTTTTCAAATTGACACAAATTCCATGTTCTATTTATTGCCACTTTGGAGTAATCCCATAATTATCACATACATATCATTTGCAAGAACTTCTCATCCCTTCTGGAACCATTGTGATTTTGAATAGTTAGATTTCTGTCTCCCCCTGGTTTTTCCACACCCCTTATTGCATACTTTTACAATTACTGATGTACAAGCAAAATAATTTTGGATTTGTGACAAGGAGCCGAGAAGTAGTTACATTCTTCTAAAACACTGTTTCTCAACTATGGCAACTTTAGGATGTATAGACTTCAAATCCCAGAATTCCCCAGCCAACATGCTGGGGAAGGTGGAAAATTCACACATCTTATATTTGCCAAGGTTGAAGAATGCTGTTCTGAAATATCATCAGTATAAAAACTTAAGGGTGGGGACTGAAGCGAGAGTAATCTTTCTTCCATGCATGATGGTGATTCTTACTTGATAGGGGTGCATGACCATTTTTTCTTGCTAGAAAAAGAGAAGTCCCGAGGAGGGACTTTCAGCCTCAATGGCATCAATGACTTCTTGGATTCTTGGAATACTTCATCCAGTTTTGGTCGCCACAATGTAAAAAAGATGTGGAGACTCTAGAAAGAGTGCAGAGAAGAGCAACAAAGATGATTAGGGGACTGGAGGCTAAAACATATGAAGAATGGTTGCAGGAACTGGGTATGTCTAGTTTAATGAAGAGAAGGACTAGGGGAGACATGATAGCAGTGTTCCAATATCTCAGGGGTTGCCACAAAGAAGAGGGAGCAAAACTATTCTCCAAAGTACCTGAGGGTAGAACAAGAAGCAATGGGTGGAAACTAATCAAGGAGAGAAGCAATTTAGAACTAAGGAGAAATTTCCTGACAGTTAGAACAATTAATAAGTGGAACAACTTGCCTGCAGAAGTTGTGAATGCTCCAACACTGGAAATTTTTAAGAAGATGTTGGATAACCATTTCTCTGAAGTGGTGTAGGATTTCCTGCCTGGGCAGGGGGTTGGACTAGACCTCCAAGGTCCCTTCCAACTCTGTTATTCTATTCTATTCTATTCTATTCTATTCTATTCTATTCTATTCTATTCTATTCTATTCTATTCTATTCTATTCTATTCTATTCTATCTACCTGCTTTCTTAAACCTCTGACTCACAAGTGAAATGACATCATGCTTTTATTTTAGATATCTCCTGTTGAGCCTGGGTGACCAACTTCTACCACCAACGTTTGGTTTTCTTGTCAGGAGCATCAAACAAATTTCTCCTCCTACAGAAACTCTTTTCTAATGTTATTATCTTTCTCTTTTGCCCGCAGGCCATGAAGGTCCTCTCAAAGAAGAAGTTGTTAAAACAGTATGGATTTCCACGTAGGTATCTGTGTGTCAAGGCATAAAGACACAGTAAACTTTTCCATTTAATCAGGTTTTTTTAAAATCCCAGTGTTGTACATTCCGAGTGGCAGTGGTTCACTAAATTTGATTGTATATATGTATAGACAGTATGTATGTATATTGCCTTTGAGTTAGTACAATGTTTAGCAACTGGCTAGACTAAAGATTTCGGAAGTGGTTTACCCTTGCTTTCTTCCTAGGGCTGAGAGAGGTTGGCTGGCCCAAAGTTACCCAGTTGGCTTTGTGGCTAAGACAGGGTTAGAATTTACAGTCTCCTGGTTTGTAGCCTGGTGTTATAACCACTACACCAAACTATCTACTGATAAGGAAATAAAATGGATGGATGGATGGATGGATGGATAGATGGATATCCACCCAAAAAGCCCATACCTCATAAATTCTTTGCATTCATTTCTTCTTGAAATGAAGCTTTGTCCTGCTACATCCCAAGAATTTATGAGGTATAAACTTTTCAAATGGTTTGCCTTTATTCAACCCACACTTAGTAAATGAGAGTGCAGTGTGGAAGTGAATGAGAGAGACAAAGGGAATTATAGCATTATATCCATGTGTTCATATGTAAAAAATGAAAAATTGCATGTCCTCATCTGCATTCATTATGTCAAATTTGTAAACCTGAGTCCTCAGAGTTGGGTGTCCCGCCCAATCTTTGGGTCTGCCCCCTTTCTCCAAAAGCTGCTACCAAACTGTTACTTGGGGGACAAAAGAGAATCCTAATTCATTCAGTATATGACTGAATGATATTAACTACATTTCTTTGGAAGTATACTAATTATTTCTTTTTCCCTTTTTTGGCATGTAATCACCGCACACCACTCATTAAACGTTATGTACTCCTGATATTTTCCAGCTTAACCTGGCAGGCTATGTGGCACTTAAGGCTGAAAAAATTGCCTGCCTGGGCAATTTGGGATTGGATTAATTAAGTTTAATTTTAAGGCACAACTCAGTAGTTAATAGGCACTGCAGTTTTCCATTTCACATTTACTTGTTAAATCCATATACCCTGTACTTTCACTGAAAAGCAGAACTCCAGCTAGATAATGTGAAAAAATGAATAGAAGAGAAACAAAAACAATAAAAAATGTATTACAAAAAATAGACTTCTTAAAAAGCACATTGGTAAAACAGATCACATCCAATACAAATGTATTACAGTAAGCTTCAAGCTCCTATTTCCATTCTTCTTTTGTATGCCATAGCAGATGACATCTGCTTTTAAATTAACCAAGGCTCACTTGGTATCTAAATTGTTAGGCTAGTTTGAAAGGATGGTCTGATAATGTTGGATCACTTTATATTTTCTTCCTGGAAATGTAATTTATTGAAACACTGAGGAGAGATGGCGGTTTTCTACTGGACTATAAATGCATCACTGTACTCATCTTTTTTCCATGACTACAATGGGTCACATGGTTAGAGTTGATTTGCATGGATATCTACTATGCAGCATTTCATTTTTTACAAGCCAAGAAGCTTTAGCCAATCTAGCTGTCTGACAGTGGCATTGTGTATTACTTTTTTTTAATGTGCTTTAGGTTAGTTGTCACTGAAAATACCAAAGAACTTGTCAATGCACAATACCTGACAGCATATGGAGATCTTTGTGTAGAGGTTGTGTTTTCAGAAAAACACTTAAAACAGGGATGGACAATATATGACCTTCCAAAGATTGTTGCTACAAGGTTCCATCAGTTTTCATAGATCAATCAATCAGAATAGAGCTGGAAGGGAGCTTGGAGGACTTCTAGTCCAACCCCTGTACCATTTCAGATAGGTGGCTATCAGTCTTTTCTTAAAAACCTCTACTGGTGAAACCCCTACAACTTCTGAAGGCAAGCTGTTCCATTGGTTAATTGTCCTCACTGTTAGGAAGTTTTTTCCTTAATTCCAGGTTGTTTCTCTCCTTGGTTAGTTTCCATCCATTGTTTCTTTTCCTGCCATCTGGTGCTTTACAAAATAAGCTGACCCCCTCTTCTTTGGCAACCCCTCAAATTCTGGAATACTGCTGTCATGTCACCCCTAGTCCTTCTTTTCTCTAGACTGACCATACCCAATCCCTACTATCATTCATCATGTGTTTTTGTCTCTAGGCCTTTAATCATCTTAGTTGCTCTTCTTTGTACTTTTTCCAAAGTCTCAACATCTTTTTTGTAATGTGGTGACAAAAACTGAATGCAGCATTCCAGGTGTGACCTTACTAAAGCTTTATAAAGTGGTATTAATACTTCATATGATTTTGTTTCTATGCTTCTGTTTATCCAACCAAGGATTATACAGTTTTAGCTTTTTTGGCTGCTGCCGCACATTACTGGCTCAATTTAAGTGATCGTCCACTCCAAGATCCCTTTCACAGTTACTATTTTTGAGCCAAGTTTCCATGTTGATGTAAATTGGAAATTCAACAGCATTTGGAGAGTCACAATTTCACTTATATTCTTTATTTCACATCACATGTGTAACCTCATATAATATATGTGGCTATGTGGGTGTATGCATAATTATGTATGTATGTATTTATTTATTTAGTCACGTTTATGTAGTGCATATGGTGACCCTTTGAGTTGCTGTATACAACAACATTTCATTTTAAATTTCATTTAATGTATGCCGATTAGTGTACATTCAAAGTGACAATAAAGTTATTCTAAATCTAAAGTTATTCTAAGTCTGGTTTTGCATTAACTTGCTTTTTGGGTATGCACAATTATTGGAATCATAAATTTTAGAAAATGAGTTGGACCTGCACAACATGCTAAGAAAATAAAGTAAGTGAAAATTAAGACTAACAAGGCTTGGTATCTTGTAGATGTGCAGCCATGAAGTCTTTCTTAAGTGTGTTGTACAAACATAGCCAGTGCGTTCATAATTAAATTGTACTTGATGTAGTTCTGTTGAAATTAAAAGGCCTTCAGCCATCATGACTGTTGTTTCTTGATTTCAGGGGGCTTACTCAAAGATTAATTAAACCAGAAACTAGTCCACTGGATTTACTGTTTTTTTTAAAAAAAAAAGTGGAAAGGGTTGAATGAAGTGCAACTGCTATTTTTGGCTTTGCTTCCTGGATTTATTGCTGTCAGAGTGATGTGAACAGATTTGGCTTCTTTTCTCAGAGAAAGAACATTTGTATGAATGATTAAGTAGCTCTGAACTGTATCTTAGTTTGTTGTTGCAAGTTCTGTAATCTCTGATGCAAAAGTCTAGATCATCAGAGAAGTAAAATGCATCTGAATCTAGTTGGGTATATTTCTTAGTTCTCATAGATATCCCTGAAAGCTAGGGAGAAAAAAAAATCAACCTCAAAGCAACATGAAAACTAGTTCTCACTACAAGATGTCTTTTAATTTCATTACCAAAGGCCGTCCTCCACCTCGGGGATCGAAAACCACTGCAAGTGGACAGATGAAGCCAATGGCCCCTCTAGATCGGATATATCAAGAAATAGCAATTTTGAAGAAGTTGGACCATATCAACATTGTCAAGCTGATTGAGGTTTGTTTGCTTGTGTTCTGTGCATGAGGTAGGTTGGGATTTTCCAAAACTCCCTTTAATTGAATTTCTTCCTGGATTTTAAAACTCTGGATTTTCTTAGTTTTGGTTTCAAAGTGAGCACGATAGATCAAGACTTCTTCATTTTTTTGCTGTTGGTTTTTCTTTTGAATTTTGTATGGAAGATTATGAGTGAACGGTTTGCCCAGATTTCAGCATTTTATGACTTCCTCATAGTTCCTGTTTTGTCATAACAAAACTTGAGTAAAGTCTGGGAAAATAAACAAGAATCTTGAACAAAGTTGAGTGCTACTAGCAGTGGTTGTTTGAAAAACCAACCTTTTTAAAGGAGTTTTTTTTTCTTTTCACTTTTTAAAATAGTCACCACTTACAGATGTCTGGCTTGTGTTCTAAAGGCAAAAGTGAAGAAGGTTGTCCCTGGGATTTCAGGGTTATGCCTTTTCTGGCTGTTATACTATTTTGGGCCCTTTTATAAGTAGTCCTTGCTTACCAACTGTTTCATTCAGCAACCGTTCAAAGTTACAATGGTGCTGAATAAATAATTTTTCGATGAATGCCTGCATTTACAACCTTTGCAACATCAGACACATGATTGCTATTATAGTCAGTACATGCTGTTCTGTGCCTGACCTGTTGTTTTTCTTTGTCGTTCCCCCCACTCCCTCTCATGCAGAGTGGAGAGATTGGAGAAGAAGAGATTTAAACAGAGTAAGCAGGCACATGATGGGGAATACACATCGGAAGAAATCCGGTAGCTCTGAGCATGCAGTTAGTATATCTCTCCCCTTGTGTGCCTGCTTACTCTCTTGTAATCCCTCTCTTGCTTTATGTGTGGGGTGGGAGAAAAAAAAATATAGACAGCGTGTCCTGGGTCTGACCTGTTTCTCTTCCTCCTCCACAGATCCCAGAGATTGGAGAGGAAGGCATTCTAAGAGAGTAAGGAGGCACACAGTGGGGAATATACCCAGTTGTTTGTGTAGTGTGCTTGCAGTGCCAGCCCTGATTGCACTTGGGACCGCCAGCACCACTATATTACTTTTGATATGTATTCCCCATTGTGAATTTGCTTACTCTCTTGAAATCCCTTACTCTGCAATGAATGTAAATACGAACACTGTTTCCCTTCTTACTAATTATCCAGTACTGGAGTGAGCATTCCAAAGGGCAGAGGAATAAGGAGTGGGAGTCATATGATTTCCAACTTGGTGACCCCTTTGCTTAATGACAGAGTTAGTGGTCCCAACTGTCATTGCCAAACAAGGACTATCTGTTTGCAAAGTAGTTTTTTAAAAGCTTTGAATGCCACTGTGTTCACATCTTTAGGAAATAAATAACAGAAAGGCAGCAGGAGAGGTTAACCAAAGACTAGAGGGGGCATCTGCTAATACACCCCATAAGTGCCTCCCTCAGTACTCTCACTACTGGTCACCTGAATTTGTTTCCAAAATAATGGATGGTAAGGATGGTTTCAGAATAAGGAGGAAAACACAACCTTAATGCTTGTACAATTAGTGGTGACTTAGAGCTGTCCCATCCATGAGCTTAGAACAAGATGAAGTGTCATGAGGACAAGGAGGAAATTGTTGATATCAAGAAATATTTGCATCATAGTTAAGTATTTCTATTGTTTTTCTTGTTGCTTCTTGACAATGTTCAAAGGGACATGTGTTCTTCAATGAAGAACTCTCCTCTGAAAGAAGAAAGAAAATATAAAACAAATCAGGAATTGCAATACAAATAAAGTCACTTTTTTGTAAGGTGTCATCCATGCATACATGTATATTGAGCCTTGGCGGTGCAGTGGTAAGAGTGCAGTACTGCAGGCTACTTCTGCTGACTGCCAGCTGACTGCAATTTGGCAGTTCAAATCTCATCAGGCTCAAAGTTGACTCAGCCTTTCATCCTTTTGAGGTGGGTAAAATGAGGACCCAGATTGTTGGGGGCAATATGCTGACTCTGTAAACTGCTTAGAGAGGGCTGTAAAGCACTGTAAAGCGGTATATAAGTCTAAGTGCTATTTCTATACCTGCAACAAAGAATTGGCAGGAGCAAGTTTGCAGAAGTGCTGAGGGAATTGAAAGCATTTTGTAACTGCATGTATTTAAGTTCTGGTTCTTGTTTTCTTCTGTTCAGTCCTGTCTGATTCTTGGAGATTGTCTAGACATGTCCCTGCAATTTCTCGGAAAGGTTTTTCAGAAGTGGTGTGTCATTGTCTCCTTTCTAGGGCTGAGAGAAAGTGATTGGCTCAAGGACACTGTCCAGCTACTGTCTTGCAAGGCAGTTGTTTCTAAGAAAACAGCTGTAATCATTGGGCCGGTTCCCCGAAAGTTTGATTAAAAGTTGTTTGCAATGTAATTCCCACACATTTATTTTAATTTTTCCCTCTGGAGCAAAAGGGAAAACGTCAGATCCATTGTCTGCATAACAGGATCTGTTCATTTCTAGATTCCCCCAAATTAGCATGTTTTCATGCCCCCTTTGATGACAAATTGAATCTTTTTTCCAAGCTGTATCTATGGAATTTATTTTATTGTCCCTTTAGTTGGTATAAAAATAAAAAGTTGATAGCTTACCTAGTTCCTTCCAAATGTGTTGGACTACAGTTTCCATTGCCCCAGTCAGGATAGTTTAGACCAGGGATCTCCAACCTTGGCAACTTTAAGACTTGTGGACTTGAAGTCCACAAGTCTTAAAGTTGCCAAGGTTGGAGATACCTGGTTTAGATCACCCTTTCCCTATCTGGTACAACCTAAGTGTGTAAGGAGGATAATTTCTAGCCAACATAGCTAATTCTGAGAGTAGCAGTTTCAAAACAGTTTTAGGTTGGGGAGAATTATGTTAACAGTGCTGCCATTTAGGGCATCATAACTGCCTGTAGTATGCGATAAAAGAGACCAATGGTTCAGAAGTTGAAGTAGATATATATTCTTCTTTTCAGGTACTGGATGATCCTGCAGAGGACAATCTATACATGAGTAAGTAATGTAGAAAAATATAAGAAATGGCTATGCTGGAGCAGAGTGAGACTTTCTGGTTCATACAGCACCCAATCTGTTTGGGAAACTCAGAAAGAGGACATGACTATAGTTCTACTTATGTTTACTAGCACCTTCCACTGATTCAGGGCCATATTCCTATTTATCCTGAAGCAGGGCAATCATTTGCAGTGGGAGACTGATATCACCATCAAGAATATGATGATATGTCAAGTTGTTGTTGTTAGTTGCGAAGTCGTGTCCAACCCATCGCGACCCCATGGACAACGTTCCTCCAGGCCTTCCTGTCCTCTACCATCCTCTGGAGTCCATTTAAGCTCATGCCTACTGCTTCAGTGACTCCATCCAGCCACCTCATTCTCTGTCCTCCCCTTCTTCTTTTGCCCTCAATCTTTCGATATGTCAAGACCAGTAGATAAATCAGACTAAGAACTCTACTGTGCAAGAAGGCTAAGATTACTTCTGTTGAGATAGGTTATAACAAAATCTTACAGATCTGATTGTGCTCTATCTCCTCTCCTTTTTATACAGGTAGTCCTCAACTTACAACAGTTCATTTAGTGACCATTCAAAGTTACAACAGCACTGAAAAAAGTGACTTATGACTGTTTTTCACACTTACAACCATTGCAGCATCCCCATTGTCATCAAAATGTGGATGTTTGGCCACTGACTCATATTTATGATGGTTGCAGTGTCCTGAGATCATGTGATCCCCTTTTGCAATGTTCTGACAAGCAAAGTTCAATGGGAAAGCCAGATTCACTTAAAAACCGTGTTACTAACTTAATAACTGCAGTGATTCACTTAACAACTATGGCAAAACTCACTTAACAAATATCTCACTTAACAACCTAAATTTTCATCATAAATCAAAAATTACCTCTACCTGAATATTATCTTGTTCTGAACTTAAATGTTTCCTGCCGTTTTCCCTAGTTAACGGTTCCTTAATATCTCTATCTCCTTTACCTTCTATATTATGCTGCTAACTTCAGTAGATGAGGTTGATTCTTATCTGCTTATTTTGCAGTGGATTTTTTTTTCCTTATATACAGATTGTCCTTTACTTTTCCCTTTCCTTTGTAAACAGAATTCAGCTCAACAAACCTGGTTTCATTTTTCTTGTTTTTATTTTTAAAGAGTACTCTAATGCACCACAAAGTGGTACTCTGGTTTAACAATCAATATTTCCCCTGCAGAATTCTCTAGAGTGGCCTCAGGAAATAGTGCTGTCACTTTTAATGGCTTCAGAATGGTGCTGTGTGGTCACTCAGTATCTTTCTAAAACCACAGATGAGGTCAGTGTATTCTAGAGTGGGAGTCGCCAGCTTCAATCCCTGATCCTCATATAGGACTCTGTTCTAATTTGCGGTCCCCGAGAACTCTGAAGCAGAAAAAATATGCAATTTTTCACTACATAATTTTCAGCTTTTTTAAATCAAAATCAAAATTAGACTGGAAATATTATTTATTTATTAAACAAAGTTAATAAAGACAAAGTTAATAAAGGGAGGAGACGAGGGTAGGTCTTGAGAATATTATCTGGGAGGAGTTTGATCCTGTGGCTCCCGAGGATGTGGACAGGGTTCTGGGTAAGATTAGTGCCGCCACGTGTTTATTGGACCCGTGTCCCTCCTGGTTGGTACTGGCCTCCCGGGAGGTTACACAAAGCTGGCTCCAGGGAATTATAAGTGCGTCTCTGAATGAGGGTGCCTTTCCTGCCGCCTTGAAAGAGGCGGTAGTGAGGCCCCTCCTCAAGAAGCCCTCCCTGGACCCGGCTGAATTAGCCAACTACCGTCCAGTCTCCAACCTTCGATTTGTGGCGAAGGTTGTTGAGAGCGTGGTGGCACGATAGCTTCCCCGACACCTGGATGAAACTATCTATCTGGACCCGTACCAGTCGGGCTTCAGGCAGGGATACAGCACTGAAACGGCATTGTTCACGTTGGTGGATGATCTCTGGAGGGCTCGGGACAGGGGTTGCTCCTCTGTCCTAGTCCTATTAGATCTCTCAGCGGCTTTTGATACCATCGACCATGGTATCATGATGCAGCGCTTGAGAGGGTTAGGAATAGGGGGCACCGTTCTGTCACCAGTACAATCACCAGTGGCATTCAAAAGGTAAAATTTCCAAAAAGATGACTCTGGGCAAATAGATTCTCCCTTTTCTCTGGAAACACTGAGAAATCAAAGAAATGGTTGCCCTATTTTCTACAAATGGGATTATTACAGGACTTTGGAAATAAGGGATCATAAAAGTGAAAACTGAAAGTCTTTTGTTTGGAACTCTTAAGTCCTTTCATGAAGAACTTTTGCTTAACTCTTATTTTGAAGGTCTGTTTGCTTTAGTATAAAGTTAGTGGTGTAAATGCTAATATCTTTGTTGATTTTTCCTACAAACACATTCTCCCAATCAATTTTAAGCTTAACAGTTTAAATTTATGGACTTTTTCTATAACATCTTAGGAAAATGCTTTATGTTGGAAATTAGATGGAAATTAATTCAGGGATGATTGCTTTTCTAAAAGTGCATTGGCTGAGAGCTGTCTTTTCTTTTCAGCATTCGATCTCCTCCCAAAGGGGTAAGTAATCTATAATAAACAAAGATTGTATGAATGCCACATTATGGGGATTAAAGCCTAACAATTTTGGGTGTTAACAATGCAGTATTGCAAGCAAACTTTGCCTGCAGCCTGAATTTTGATTCTTATGGGCCTCAAGGTTGATTCAGCCTTCTATCCTTCCAAGTTTGGTAAAATGAGGACCCAGATTGTTGAGGGCAATATGCAAAAAATGATTACATTGTAAACTGCCCAGAGAATGCTGTAAAATGCTATGGGGCAGTACAATGAACTCTGCTATTGCTATCAGAGTTCATTGCATGACTGTTAATAGGCCTTAAATTCTGCTCAGCAGCAGCATCTGCTGGATGATCTGTATCAGCACCATTAAAGTTATGGCATCATTAAACAAGACTTTGAAAAAATAGGCATGGGTGCCATTTTGGCTCTTTTGACTCTTATTCTATGTACACCTCCCAGCTCCTTGAGAATCCAGTGAATCTATCACTTGAAAAACTGTCACAAGGAAGACCGTGTGGGTTTATTCTCTCTATTGCTTGAGGGTAGGACAAGAATCCATTGATAAAGCTTTCCAGGGAAGCTTCATCACTGGAGGCTTTCAAGAAGAGATTGGACTGCCATTTGTCAGAAATGGTGTACTGTCTCCTGCTTGGACAGGGAGTTGGACTAGATGACCTACAAGGTCTCTTCCAACTCTGTTAATCTAATCTAATCCCATCCTGATAGTTCCCATCCTGTGGGAATAAAATGTAGGGAGGTCCCTGGTTAAGTACCTTCAGCATTTAGGTGAGAGGTGGATATAACTTGAATAAAGAAATAAGTGAAATTAAGAGTGATGATTTCCCAACTGTAAGAAATATTAAATAGTGAAACAGCCATTGCTTCTTGGGGTCCAATGCTTATCCAATGTTTTTTGGAGTCATGGGCTCTGTCCATGCAGGTTTTCAAGCAAACAGGTGGACAGCCATTTGTCTGAGATGGCTGAGGATTGCTGCCTTGGGCAGAGGGCCAGGGAGAGATTAAAAGACCTCCCCTCCCCCCATGTTTTTATGAATCCCTCTTCTCCACTTTTTTGGACTATTAACTGGAAGGAGGTGGCCTGTGTTGCTATGTTTTGATTGGTCCCCCCCCCCTAATCATTCCATAAGCTACAATACATCATTCTACAACTTGGCATTGATAAAAGTAATAAACCACAGTCAACACCAAAAATAAAAATGAACTCCTAATGAAACATCGCAAAATGAATTGTTGAACAAGCCTCAGAAGCTTACCTCATCAAAATAATTAAAAATACAGAAGAAAATGGCTGATACAGTCTGGTAAAATATTTGTCTTGCTCTTTGCACTCTATTTTTTTAGGCCTGTCATGGAGGTGCCATGTGACAATCCTTTTTCTGAAGAACAAGCTTGGCTCTATTTCAGAGACATTGTCTTGGGCATTGAGTACTGTGAGTATAAAGTAAGAGAGTTGTTATTGTCCTTGATGGATTTTTCCCCCTTAAATGTGCCTCTTTCCTTAATACTTAAAATGATCCTCCAGCAAAGGAACCATAATACATGCATACATTTCAGCACATTTTCAAAAACATTTTCAGAGCAGGCTCAGATATAGTCAATTCCTCAACTTTGGGGAGGGAAAGTACTTTTTGCTGTGACAAACCCATCAGTCTACATAACCCTTATTAAATTGTATAATATCACTTTCTGAGCAGAAGTTGGTTTATAATAACTTAAGCCAAGATTCAGCAGCCTTCGTTGTTGGAGTGGGCACCTACAACATCATGTAATTTTCTAAAATGACACTAACGCTGAATGAAATGATGAGACCATACAGTAAGTTGAGTTCCATTCAATCATTCTAGGATTTTATTTATTTCTCTAAGCAATCGAAGTAGTGACTGAGGTGACCTAAGACACTTCAGTCACTACTAGGCAAAATATAGTTATATGAGGAATACAATTCAAAGCAATCATGGAGAGATATATTACTGGAAAAATTCACACCAGGGAAAGAGCATAATTGATTTGACTTGACTTGACTTGACTTATATAGCTGCCCATCTCACATATGTGGCTCTTGGCAACTGATAACAAAACTAATTAAAAGACATACAATATAAAAAATAAAAACCCAAAGTAGCTGAGCATCAAACAAATATTAATTGTAGTGTTTAGCTGTTTTTAATTGGTTTTAATTTTGTGATTGCTAGTTTGTGCTTTAATTGAGTACACCTCCCAGAATCACAAGTGAGATGAGCTGACATATAAATTGAAATGGAATGAATGAATGAACTACCATTAGCAAAGCTAACAGGTGGGCTCTGTCCCATATCCAGGGCTACAGGCTAAGGCACAATCTTTGCAAATTGACTAATCATAATCAAATCAATATCAAAGCTGAATATCACTTCCAATGAAAGTGACTTCCAGTCCTTATCTGTTAATTCTCCCAATATATAGTATATTTAGACTTCTCCATTGCAAACATTTCTACACATGGCTGCTATTGCCCAATTTGTGCCCTAAGCCCTAAAAATGACACAGAATATCTCAGAGTGTCTAGAAATCTTGCATTCTTTCAAAACCAAAACAAGCAGCAAAACTCTGTGAGGTTGAAATGGTTCCAGCTGGTGTAAACAAGAATGGGAAATCAATGTTTTACCATCCCCGACTTCTTTCCTTCTATGAATTGTAACAGCTATTGATTATATCTTGGAAACACAGCATGGTTAATGTGGGGGCAGTTGCCACAAACTTCCCTAGGGAACCATTTGTATCCTGACTGGGACAAACAAGAGAGGAAACACAATATCTGTGGTTTAAACCACAAGTAACCAAATGCTATTGTTGATCTCCGGCTGTGTTTCCTGGAATCACAGACCAATTCTATTGCAGTTTTCTAGAATCTCTCTCTCAAGGCACTGAATTCAATACTAATGGAAAATATGTTGTTTACACTAGTTTAGTTCGAAGGTTTAATTAAGCTGCTTCTGAGCCTGTTTATTTCACACTGGGACATTCATACTATAATTATTTGTTATTACCATAGTACTACAAATATTTATATTTCACCTGACATACAGTGTGTCCAGACATAGTACAGTTTAAAGGCAAACAGTAATACTATCCAGAATAAATAATACAGCAATACAAACCACACTAAATGTAATACACATATATAAACACTGCCCCAGCTCTGCCCACCTAGCAGTTCAAAAGCTTGCAAATGTGAGTAGATAAATAAGTACCATTTTGGTGGGAAGGTAATGTCGTTCTGTATGCCTTTGTTATGCTGGTCACATGACCACTGAAGCATCTTTGGATAACACTGACTCCCTGGCTAAGAAATGGAGATCAACACTGCCCCCCTAGAGTCAGACACAACTGGTCAGAGGAAAAAATTACCTTGACCTATCTGAGGGAGATTGTTTCAGAACCAAGAGGCAACCATCAAAAAGGGATGCTTCCCAGGTCCCATAAGGCTGCTTGTTCACGGTTTAAAGAGAGCACACGTGCTTTCCATGCAAAAGGTTTTAGGTTCAATCTCCAAAACTGGGCTGATAATTTTTTTTCCTCACTGGGCCTATGTCAGGAGGTCTACCACTCTCATCATCCCTTTGCCAGCTCTGAATTTGGCCATGCTTATTGGTGATGAGGCAGGTTGCAGGGCCACCAGACCAGGGTAAGTCAGTGGGCAGCACTGGTAGGCAGTCTGATTATATAGCACAGTATAGCATTCTCAGTTCATGGTCCCTTCTCTTTATATTTCTATGGATCTAACACAAATTGGCCTTGGTGTCTTTCTGAGAAAAAGAACATCTCTCAGATACTATCTCCCAATTCACCTCAGTTACTTTCCTCTGCAGATTTCTTTTGATAGGTGCTAAATCATTTCTCTGCTCTATTACATGAAGCCGATAGTAAAGTGAAGCAGCAGCCCTTTGAGGTTGCATTTTGTCCTTGAATTGCAGGAGATTTCTCCATTAATCCAATTTAATGCAGTTAGCAGCAGCCTCGGCAGACAGTGCAATGTGCTAATATAATTGAAACACATTTTCCTCTATTGGTAACACATTTTTCTCTACCCCCCTCCTCAAATGGTAGGGAGTTTGTTATGAGGCAAAAAGCATGTTGATACAAAAAGCCACTATCATGCCAATAAGCTAGGGATGTAGATTTCCAAGGTTCAGAAACTTGATCTGATTAGAAGCTGATCTCCAAAGTGGGCAGGGCCCAGACCTATTTGGAGACAAGGTTTCACAAATTACAATATATGAAATGAACGTTTGGGGGGTGAAGTGAGCTGCATAAACCGTGGTGATTGTGGTTGGTCATATGAGGTCACCTGGTTGCGTTTTTGCACCCTAGAGTAGCCTATACTTGTTTTAAACACATGTAAAACCCCTGGAAGCCACTGAGCCTAGGTGTTTTTTTCTTCCTTGATGTCAATTCTCTAAACATTGAAAAGTGGAAAGGAAGACATGGCCACAGTGGGACACTTCATAGTTTCTTTGAGAAATTATGAGTCCAGAGAGTGAATGCCTTGCCTTCTGACCTTCAGTGATCTAGTGCTGACAGCAATGACTGCATTACTGGTAGTATTTTAATGAAAAGACTTGAGATCACTGAGGAAGCATTCAAAATGCATCTGGGCAACCCAGTGTGAAGGTTTATTTTGAATCAATATTTCATCTCTTTCACACTATTCTACTACAACTCTCTGTTAAGAGGACAGAACTTTAAGCAGAGTCTGATCCCTGCACTCTTACAAGAAATTTAAATAATTGTAATTAATGTGTGTTATGTATTGTATATAGTTGTCAGTTGAAGTTCTCAGTCTGGTCCTCTGTTGGAGCGGGAAAATACTCTCTCCTAATTGGTTGTGGGCTGATCAGCTTCCCTATAAAAGGAGCAAAACTGAATAAAGAGCTGTTAGAAATCACTTTGGCCTCACCTCCATTCTTCACCCAGAACATAACAAGGTGGATGTTTTATATAAGTTTATTTTGTGTAACAATATTTACCCTTGAGCAGTGGTGAAATCCAATTTTTTTTTACTACTGGTTGTGTGGGCGTGGCTTGGTGGGCGTGGCAGAGAAAGGATACTGCAAAATCTCATTCCCACCCCATTCTGGGGCCAGCCAGAGGTGATATTTGCTGGTTCTCCAAACTACTCAAAATTTCTGCTTCCGGTTCTCCAGAACCTGTCAGAACCTGCTGGATTTCACCCCTGCCCTTGAGTAATTTTTACATAGCAATTAAATTGTTTTATGTTTACCCTGCAGGTGGTAAAAAGTATGCTGTGTCTGATTCTTTTTTTAAAAAATCTTTGATATTTGTACCCTCCCTGGAGTGGGCATAGATTGATTTCTTCCTGTTGATTTTCAATGAAAAAAAATTTGGTTAGAATTGCTCTTCTCTGGGGAATAGAGAGGTTCAAAGAGAAACAAGTTTGGAGATATTTTTTTATTTCTATTTCAACATCTCTGTGGATGGAGAATGGAGATTTTGTGCTATAGCTCTTCTTAAATAATTAAAAATCTCATCCATCTTCTCCAGATCACCCCGTGACCTTCCAGTAGATGTTCATTTATCTTCTATTTTGCCCCTTTTTAGCAAGTCTAATTTCATGTCTTTGCTCAAACAGAAAGAAACACAGTAGTTGTTAGGCTTCATATCAAGCACAGCAGTACATCTTGACATTGGAGATGGGTAGTTTTAAGTACTCCAGCTGTCTTGCTCTCATTCCAGAGTGTGAAGATGTCTTCCCCCAGGGAACACACAGCTTGATAGTCAGATATTCATTGTGATGAAGTTTTCATTCCCAAGAAAAGAAAGAGTGAGATTGGGGGATCCTGGAGGTCATCTTCCAAGCCCACATACTTGGTTCCTATTTTTGTTGATTATGGATTTTATCTGATAGGGAAGCAGTTTCATTTCTGACCCCATGAGTCTCACAAGATAAGCCACATGTTGGTGTGGGCAGTTTTCTGGGTGCAGAATGGAGGTAGGAGTAGGATCATAGATAAGCAGAATAGCTTTTACGATTATGTACATTTTTTAGTTTCAAACATAGACTTCCATTTGGATAGAAAGAATTATCTAAAAAGGAATGTGCAGGCAACAATCCCATCCTCAAAAAGACCTAGTCACTGCAGTTCAGCTGCTGCAGCAATATTTCTGGTTATTAGAGATGCAGATCACATACAGATTCGGAAGTTTTTGCTGCAAGGAGAAAGAATCTCAGATCCTTTTACGTCTGTGGTGCCAAAAGCCACAAAGTTACGATCTTCTAAAGCAAATGCTGTCTTAGTTTCCACGCTGTACAAAATGGAAATCACCCCCCCCCCCAAATAAAGGAGATAATTAGCGATTCATGAACCTGAATACCCATTTGAAGAGAAATAGATTAATCAAATGGCCCACCACTCTCAATCCTCTTTCACTGGTTCATTTTGGGACATTCTCACTTGAAAGCTTGTTGTATCAAATTTGGTGGCGATTAGACATTATGAAATTGCAGTGATGTATGGTGGCAGAAAACCCTTTGAGTCTCTTTTATGATAAAGCGTCTTTAAGTTTTCGCAAGGTAATATTGTCTTGCCTTTCCTTCATTCTTGGTTGAATTCCAGAAACATATTGAACCATTATGGAAACAGGATGGATCTTTAATCTAAGCAAACCTCCTATTCTTTAAACTTGTATCAGAATCTCAGTCAATATGTCAACGATAGTATAATTCAGTAGGCTGAGTAGCAAGGATTCAATAAATAAAACATTTCATTGCAATGAACAACAGTAATTTAATTGCTCACAGTTGTCGTAAGAGTGATTGAAAATAGATTAAAACAAATCAATCTCCCCCATGCTCAACGAAAAGGCCTTAGTATTTGAAATAGAATTGCAGAAAATGATGTAGAAAGGCCATAATAAAGTCTTCCTTTTATGGACTCTTATTAGATACAAATGGATAAAATTTCAATCTGAATTTTTGCCGCCCTCTCCCTCATAATAGGCAAATATGTTGAATCTGAATCTGGAAAAGACTGGTAAATTTAGTTTGATTTTTACAACCTATGTGACAAAGCTTATATATATATTTTCAGAATTGTTGCAACTTTGAAGTTGCTAAATGAAATAGTTGAAAGTTAAGGACTATCTGCATAGGTTACAATCTATCAAAGGTGCTAGCATAACAGATAAACAGAGTTGGAAGGGCGTTCTTGGAGGTGTTCTAATCCAACCCCTGCTCAAACCCTATACCATTTCAGACAAATGATTGTCCAATCTCTTAGTATCTATGATGCAATGATTCACTTTCAGATTTGATGGATATTCCAGAATAATAGACAACCTTACTCCAATTAACCCATTAAACCGAGGTTACTCTATTCTCTAATGCAATGTTTTCCCATCATAGTCGTTTTAAGATGTGTGGATTTCAACTCCCAGAATGCTGGGAGTTGAATGCTGGCTGGGGTATTTCGGAAGGTGAGGTCCACACATCTTAAAATGGCTAAGACTGGGAAACACTGTTCTAATTGTTCAGAATCTGAAATTTCCTGAGAGACAGGATCGGAACTGTTGTTTTAATCGAGAGTGGAACTTTATTTAAATATAGCTGTAGTTGGCCTCAAAGGATCATCAATGAATGCATATAAAGTAGCATATAATAACAGAACAGAATAACAGAGTTGGAAGGGACCTTAGAGATCTTCTAGTCCAACCCCCTGCCTAGGCAGAAAACCTTACAGCACTTCAGACAAATAGTTATCCAATTTCTTCTTAAAAACTTCCAGTGTTGGAGCATTCACAACTTCTGGAGGCAAGTTGCTCCACTGATTAATTGTTGTAACTGTCGGGAAATTTCTCCTTAGTTCTAAGTTGCTTCTCTCCTTGATTAGCTTCCACCCGTTGCTTCTTGTCCTACCCTCAGGTGCTTTGGAGAATAGCTTGACTCCCTCTTCTTTGTGGCAGCCCCTGAGATATCGGAACACTGCTATCATGTCACCTCTGGTCCTTCTTTTCATTAAACTAGACATACCCAGTTCCTGCGACCATTCTTCATATGTTTTAGCCTCCGGTCCCCTAATCATCTTTGTTGTTCTTCTCTGCACACTTTCTAGAGTCTCCACATCTCTTTTACATTGTGGTGACCAAAACTGAATGCAGTATTCCAAGTGTGCAGTATTCCAAATGCTATCGTGGGTATTTCAAAAATCCACCAAAGCTTCATGTTCTTTATAAATAACATCTCCAGTCATAGAAACCTCTTCCTGTCTCTGGACCTTTATCTGGACCCCAGACAGATCCTACTGTGTCTGTTATGGATTGTGAATTTTCATGGATGTCATGGAGACAGCAGTCCAATTAAAAAACTTCCCGTTGTTTGCCAGGGCCTAGTGTTGACATGTTAAGGCAACTTTTTATACTGGTCTTTCTCAGCCTTTGTCTTCCAATGCTATTGGAAGAACATTTTTAGATTTTTATAATAACAAAAAGTTACTGTTCTTAGAATGGAACATTTTTCTCCTGAATCTCACCAGTCTGATAGTTCTGAAGAGGATTTGGTAGTCTTCCAGGATTTAATATTTCAAATTGAAAGTGGTTTGCAATATTCTGGATGAAGTGGGAGTTTTGCACATCTCTAATTTTAAATAAAGTCTACTCTCTTGGGATCTGCGCTCAGACTTTCACTCTGTCTGCTTTTACAGAACAATTAGGGCTTATCTCCTCAGTTAGGTTTTTAAATGTCAATGATTTTGATATTTGCAAAGTTTAAGTTGATTTAAATTACCTTGTTTCTAACTTATTAAAAATATCTTTGCATTTTTGTGATGTTCTACCAAGGGAAAGGAAAGATATAAATTGGATAAGTCATTAAGTTTAACATATATTCTTCTACGGAGTGCCTCAAAGGACATCTTATGATGTCTTAGAAAAGCAATGTATATTTTACAAAAAAAATACATGCATATATTATTTTTGAATGGTGATAAGCAGAAACAACAGTGGGAAAAATATGGCTAGACTGGAAACAATTTTGAAAAAATTTTGTTGATTTTCAAAATAAATTGCCTAGGAACCAAGTAGTCTATTTTGCAACCCATAACATCTGATACTGAATCTAATACTAATATTAATTATTCGAAGCCCTTTCACAAAACTGTAACTGAAAAAAACAGGCTATCTTGCCCTATACCATCTTGCCTATTGAAGACTAGATAGCAGTGCCCAACTAACCTTAGTTGATAAAAAAAAAAAGCTAAATAGATTGAGAAACCATCAGGAAATCCCAGAACTGTAGGTTAAATTGAGAAATTACTGTTTTAAAAAAGTTTGCATTTTGCCAAGAAAACATCATGAATAATGCATGTGGTTACTAGAAGTTGCCCTTGAATTGAGGGGGGGTCTTCATAATGGAAAGATCTGGAGGTGTAGAAATGTATTTGCTACTGGTAGTTTGTGTTACCTGAGCTGATTTAATAGATATATTATCCTACAACAGTTTTGATTTTTCATAAAGCCTATGAGGCTATCTTTGTTGCTAGAAAATTTGGAAATCCAAGGTCAAGAGACACAGACAATCAGCAAAGAAGGGTTTAGACAGCAACCATCCTATGTCAACCTGCAAAGCATCCCTGGTCTGCTCTTAAGTTGCCATAGGCCAGGAGGGATGGGAAACTGGCAAAATGGCACAACAGCCAAAGACATGCACAGTCTACGCTTAACTCTCTCAAGGCTCTATCCCAGGGTTACCTACATCAGCCAAGGGGAGTGACCTCTACAACCCTCGAAATTGCTCCATTGGCGAATGTGATTGATGACACACCCTGGGGGGAGGGGGAAAACAGGGTCATAATTGGAGTGTAAATTATGTAGGGTCAGAGCTGGCTCCACTTGGGAATGTGCAGACATGAAGCTCCTAATAAATAACTGGATTTCTTTTGAAGCTTGGCTCGAGACTCATGATTTAATTAGAGCACCCATTGGAACCCTGACATCCTATTTGGAATTCTTATAAGATAATATTGAATGGAAGTAGTTAGTCCTTTAGCCACCATTGGACACCATGTTTTCTTTTTTGCCTTTCCAGTGCATTATCAGAAGATCATTCACCGAGACATCAAACCATCAAACTTGCTCTTAGGGGATGATGGACATGTCAAAATTGCTGATTTTGGAGTGAGCAATCAGTTTGAAGGCAGTGATGCCCAGCTCTCCAGCACTGCTGGGACCCCAGCCTTCATGGCCCCTGAAACTATTTCAGATTCTGGAAAGAGCTTCAGCGGAAAGGTAGAATCTTTATTTTTCTATATTGCTTTAGCGTGCACATTCAATTGGAGGGAGTATGATTATTATTAATTACATTTGTTGGCGATCTCATTTCAAGGCAACTCTGGACAGCTTACAGCATAAAAACATTAAAATCATCAGAAATAAATATTCCTAACCCAATAACAACATTTTCTTCACTCTACTGTTCGCCCTACATCAGAGGTGTCCAACCTTGGTAATTTTAAGACTTGTGGACTTCAACACCGAGAATTCCCCAGATAGCATGTCTGATTGGGGAATTATGGGAGTTGAAGTCCACAGGTCTTAAAATTACCAAGATTGGACACCCATGCCCTACACTATTATTTATATAAGACCCCACTTCTCTTGATTTTCATGAGAAAGTTGTGAGCATTTCAGAAGCTGTATGAACATATCCATCTTCTGTGGTATGTTTAGTATCAGACCTTCAAATCATTACCTTTATTTCTGATGTTCAGCTTATGAAGACTAATACTTATCCAGCCAAAAATGATATTGTCCACATGTAAGAAGGTATTATCATCACATCTCAGGGAAACTCCAAGGTTAGCAGAAGTACAAACAAACAAACAAACAAACAAACAAACAAACAAAAAACCTTTAGAAAAAACATATCCAAGAGAGGGGAAATCCTCAAACCAGCATATAGTGCCAGACCATGAAAAAAAATGAGAAGTAAAAAATGTTAAAACGTAAGATAAATATATTAAATAAATCTTTCTTTTTTCTTTCAGGCTCTAGATGTGTGGGCAATGGGTATCACTCTCTTTTGTTTTGTATATGGGAAGGTAAGGAGTCTGTAAATGGGGGCTACTTTTTGTAGGGGGGTGTTAAGAGTTAAATCATCTGTTCTAGGTCTTTCCACTTTCCTTTTCACCCAATAAGGCATACTAAAATTTGCATCAATGTATTGGATTGAAGCACCTTGTTAAACATTGCTTAGCCTTCTCAAGATGATATCTGGAAACTAGCTTTTTTGTAAGGATTAAGCACTCCCATAAGATAGATAATGGCATGCATTAAGGTTTTGTTTTACATTATATTGTAATGTAGATCATTTTCTACAATAGAACAAGAAATTAATTGTAGCGCAGGAGGAGAAGGAAGGGAAGGGAAATTTCCAATAATCCCTGCCAGAGTCCCTGCCAGATTCAGTGGGGAAGATGGCAGGTGATGGGAAGTTGTTTCTGCTCCCACTGCTTTTTACCTACCCTTGGTCATTCTGCTTTCTGTTTAAGTAAGGAAATAGCTCTGAAACAATGACTCAATAAGGCAAGGATTGTTCAGTAATGCAGAAATATATATAATAAATATAATTGAAACAGCTAATGACTTGGTTAAGACCACACACACACATACACACATATATATATATATGTGTGTGTGTTGTGTGTGTGTGTGTGTGTGTGTGTGTGTGTGTGTGTGTCTTTTTCTTTTTCGTAGGCTTTTATGTGCATATTCTTTCTAGCCAGGTTTTACCTACGTAAACTTAGTTGTTCTACAGCCCTAGGTTCTGTGAAATCTCATTCACAAGTTTCTGGGCCTTTTTTCTGCTGACAAACTGCAACTCTGTGTTGCTCTCTATATAATATATATATTATATATATATAATTCACAGGTCATTAGCTATTTTAATTGAAATGCAAGTAGCTTCCATTACAGTATAAGTGAAAAACAAAACTAATATAACTAACCACACACCTTAATATGACTACAAGTCCATAAGAATATTGATATATGAATTCAAATACCACAACAATCAGTCCTAAAAAAAGATGCTTAGGGCCTAAACCTTAACTGTTCCTGTCAGTGTAAGGTTTTCTATAGGCCAAAAAGAATGGAAAAAATTATTTGTTTTTCAGTGTCCCTTCATTGATGAATTCATCCTGGCGCTTCACAACAAGATCAAAAACAAGCCTGTGGAATTTCCAGAAGAGTAAGTAGACTTGTGGAGTTGACTATTGCAGGGGTTAGCAACCTGCGGCTCTGGAGCCGCATGTGGCTCTTTCACCCCTCTGCTGTGGCTCCCTGTCACTCAAAATATATGTCACAACCATCAATGTGCGACACCCGCCGGCATGCAATTTATTGAGCTTTTCAACCCCCGGTAGGCTAACCATGGATAAATCCAAGAAAAGAAAAGTTTCAGAAGAAAACAGAACATTTCATTGAATTACATATGCTAGTTTTGGGGCTGCTCAAGAAATAGTCAGGCACGGGAAGGGTTTTGTGGCTCCCGGTGTTTTCTTTTCTGTGGGAAACGGGTTCAAATGGCTCTTTCAGTGTTTAAGGTTGCAGACCCCTGAACTATTGCAATCAGAATTCCTCAACAGGAGTCATTTGAACATCTAGTTTTGTCCATTCCAAACAGGTGGTAATCATGCCAATAAACAGCAAGTACACCTGTCTTTTTGCAGTTGGGGTAACATCTGGAGCAGCTAGTGATGAAAATAAGGATTGAACCCATGGAACATGGGCTGAGGGAGTATCCCACAGGTAGACGGCTGAAGATCTGGGGAGTTGTAATCCCATCAGATAGAGGACATCACCCTAGTAGTCTTCAGTTAGCAGCTCCATGCTTTGTAACCTTCTTTCCTTCTTTTTCTTGTCTCACTTTCTCCAGCTACTTTATAAATTATGGATGCCTCATTTCCTACATTATAATAGATAATGTATGCTGTATAATTTGTTATTTTACTGGTATTTAAGGAGTATTTCCTCAGTGATTCTCATATTGTTCAATGACAGCCTGGAAAGGATGTCTCATAAAACTCTCTCTTTTTGAGGATGAAATCATTTTCAGTCAAAAACGTATTTCTCCTTTCCTTTTGTCTCTTCTGTTATATATTGGTTTTGAGATTTTGAGATTATTTCTCTCTCGCACTAAATCATCTCAATTATTCTCTCAACCTTTGCTACAGGTCAGTAACTTTTGTATTTATTGACATTCATTTAGTACCCATTCTCTCTTGACCTTGCTGATTTCATTTTGCTCCACTTTTAAATACTCCAGGGCAATTGTGTTCCATTTTCTTTATGATATATAAAATGCTCACGTCCATATAATGAAGTAAAGAAAAGCAGCCATTCTACACAGCATTTTTCACTTCTCGTAATGGATGGATGAATGGATAAAAACAAACAAACAAACAAACAAATAAAGAACACATTTCTACCTACATTGTATATCTTAACGTTTCTCCATCCATTTTTCCATTTTTAATAAACCCTCTGCCCAAGTACAGAAACACATCTACTTGTGCTACTAAGCATATTTACCTAGGTGAGTTAATGAATGCATGCTACTTGAATTCATTAACTCGATTTTCCCAGTCAAACACAACTACCTTGGTCTTAGATGCATTAATTTTCAGATCTGTTTTCCCTGTGACATCATACAATCCATCTAACATTCTCTGCAGATAATTTGTCAGTCAAAAACATGGCATCGCCAACATACAAAAGTATGCACACGTTTATATTTCCAGCTAACATACTTCCTTATACATGCATGTATTTGTGATGTCCCCTTGGTTGACATTGATTTAAAATATAGCAATACACCTTCCTTATATATACATGTATAAGGAGGTGTATTGCTATATTTAAGTACATTGTACAACCAAAGGGACTTCACACATCCTTTTCTTACACTCTTCTTTCCCAAGAACCTGGGATTGGCAAATGTTGTTTAATAATTAAAGGTGTCATTACAGGATGTAAGTTGTTCCAAGTAAAGCTACTTTTGCCATTGACTGAGGGTGATTTTGTCAATGCCCAATGGTGCTCCAGATGTTTTGGGATTGCACTCAAGGCAGCTATTACTTTTGGTACTATCTTGGCTTTCTTTTGCCACAGTCATTCTACTTTTATTTGCAGGTCTTTGTACAGGTAGCCCTCCACTTACAACAATTCATTTAGTGACCATTCAAAGTTACAACGGCTCTGAAAAAAGTGACTTCTGACCGTTTTACATGCTTAAGAATGTTAAAGCATCCCCGTGGTCACATGATCAAAATTTAGATGCTTGGCAACTGGTTCATATTTATGACAGCTGCAGTGTCCCGGGGTCATGTGATCAGCTTTTGCGATCTTCTGACAAGCAAAGGCAATGGAGGAATCCATATTCACTTAACAACTGTTAGTAACTTAACAAATGCGGCAAGAAAAGTCATAAAATAGGGCAAACTCAGTTAACAAATGTTTCACTTACCAACATAAATTTGGGGCTCAATTGTTGTAAGTCAAGGACTACCTGAATTTTGTGATCTTCTCCCATTCTTCCTCTTCTCTTCTAGCTCCAGCTACTACCACATCCACTATCTAGACTTTTTTTTTTTAATCTTTCTTATTGATGGTTGTTAGATCTGGGGGTGTTAATGTGGCAAGTGCTTGTCTGCTTGAATTCTAAATTTCCCTTTAGCAATTTAGCTTCTCCATATGAGCCACAGTGGTGCAGTGGTTAGAGTGCAGTACTGCAGGCTACTTCAGCTGACTGCCGGCTGCCTGCAATTTGGCAATTCAAATCTCACCAGGCTCAAGGTTGACTCAGCCTCCCATCATTCTGAGGTGGGTAAAATGAACACTCAGATTGTTGGGGGCAATATGCTGACTCTGTAAATTGCTTAGAGAGGGCTATAAAGCACTGTAAAGCGGTATATAAGTCTAATTGCTATTGCTATTTTCACCTTTCTTATATTTTTAATTGGAATTTTCCAGATATACTTGACCAACTATTTCCTCTATAGCTTTTCTGTTTGCTCTTGTTACCTTTATTTAGGAGAACCATAACCACAACCTTCCATGATCATGGACAGATGTAGTTTTCACATATACTTATTAAACAGGTTGCAGTGCCACACTCCAGGTAGTCCTCAACGTACGACCAGAATTGAGCCCAAAATTTCCATTGCTAAGTAAGGCAGTTATTAAGTGAGTTTTGCCCCTCTTTGGAACCTTTTTTGTCACAGCTGTTACCCGAATCACTGCAGTTGTTAAATGAATCATGCAGTCATTAAGTGAGTCTGGCTTCCCCCATTGACTTTGCTTGTCGAAAGCCAGCGGGGAAGGTTGCACGTGATCCCAGGATGTGGTAATTGTCAAAAAATACATGCCAGTTGCCGAGCACCCGAATTTTGATCATATGACCATGGAGATGTTGCTATGGTCGTAAGTGTGAAAACTGCTCATAAATCACTCTTTCCAGTGCCGTTATGCTTCGAATGGCCACTAAATGAATGCTTGTAAATTGAGGACTAGCTGTACAAGCAAACCATGTTAATATTTTCTCCAATTACAACATCTACATCTGAAAGCTTAACACTTTTCAACATTTTTCACAGCATTACGACTTTCTTTTCATCACTTTTTTCTTGAGCGCTAACATGGATAATACAGTATTTGCTCCAATTCTGTCCTTTGATATATCACTGTCATTCCCATACAATTCGGTAAGACATTCTTTCAGCATTCTGTCACTTCAATTTCACACAAAATTATTCCATCACTTTTATTTTTAATTCCATTCACTCTGCTGAAGAGACCTTGTTTAGCCCTCTTCACTCGCTTCCTCAACTTCCTAAATATTATTTCAAAATTGTGGTGCATTTTAATTAATTTAATTTAACTTTATCCTGGGCTTTGATTACATTCTTTGAAGTTGCCATTTTTCTGTGTAGATGTTATAAAATTTATTTCTCTCATCATCATTTTGCAATAGTCCTGTACGCATTTTTTCATCACTAACTGCATTGTTTAACAATGAGTCAAAGTTAAAAAATGACATGGCCCCTCCTCAAAGTTATAACTGTCGCACCATCCCAATAGTCACATATGATTGCAACGAGGCTCCTGGCAACTGGTTTGCATTTACAATGATTGCAGCATCCTGCAGTCCTGTACATATATGTACATACGCCACCCCATACGTCAGTCTGACCTAAGTGTAGTACATAAAATTATCTGCTACAACATCCTACCTGTCAATGACTACTTCAGCTTCAACCACAACAATACACGAGCACACAATAGATACAAACTTAAGGTGTGGGAGCCCCAGCCTGTGGAATGAACTGCCCCCGGAAATACGTAAGATCTCCGACCTCCGGGTGTTTCGCTGCGCACTGAAGACCCTGTTGCTCCGCCAGGCCGAGCTATCAACATAATAGTTTTAAATTGGGGTATTCTAAATTTCTGGGGTTTTAATTGAGCCAGATTTATTTAATCATTTTAAATTTTAATTGCTGTTTTGTCTTGTGTTTTTAAATAGGCTGTACTCCGCCCTGAGTCCTTCGGGAGAAGGGCGGTATAGAAATAAAATTAAAATAAATAAATAAATAAATAAATAAATAAATAAATAAGGTAAACCACTCCAAACTCGATTGCAGAAAATACAACTTCAGTAACAGAATGGTTAATGTCTGGAATGCACTACCTGTCTCTGTGGTTATTTCCCCAAACCCCCATAACTTTAACCTTAAACTGTCTACTGTTGACCTTACCCCATTCCTAAGAGATCTGTAAGGGACGTGCATAAGTGCACTAGCGTGCTTACCGTCCCTGTCCTACTGTCCCCATTTATTCATATCCATTTCATGTATTCAAAATGATGTTTATACTTATATCTGTTATCTTATACATGCCTGACAAAATCAATAAAATAAAATAAAATAAAATAAAATAAAATAAAATAAAATAAAATAAAATAAAATAAAATAAAATAAAATAAAATAAAATAAAATAAAATAAAATAAAATAAAATAAAATAATAAAATAAAATAAAATAAAATAAAATAAACATATGATTTGCAACCTTCCCAGCCATCTTCCAACGAGCAAAGTCAATTGGGAAGCCGGATTCCCTTAACGACCGTGTGCATTGCTCAATGACCACAGTAAAAATGGTTGTACAATTGCGTCCAGTCATGTGATGACTCG